TTGTAGTGCATGGAAAGAAACATTCACATATTTGGTACAGTAGATTAAATGAGAGCCAAATTTTCTATTAAGTAAACTTTGACCTACATGATATGAAACCTCTTTTGAGCTAACAACTGACAAAAAAGGAAAGAAACCTCCAAGGACATCAGTGTACGTCAGCAAAAAGGAATGCGTAGGACTGTTATATGTCCACAGGCAGCACTTTGAAGGTTGAGTAAATATAAGGAACTTTTTGATAACAGCTGGAAGGCAGCACTGAAACTGTGTCAGAATGAACAGAAGGAACTATATGGGTGCCCAGCATACTAACCCAGCAGGATCAGTCAGTATTTTAAGGCCATATCATCAAAAACTTAAGGAGCAGAAAACGGATATTAAATGTGTAGGACTACCAGCCATTTATTTACTCATATGGATTTTGGTCTAGAAATTAATTGTTTCCTTAAGTCAGTCCCCATGTAGGCAAGCGCTCAGGCATGTGCTTAAGGCTGAATACAGGCTTTAGTCTCACTGACTGCAAAGAATCTTGAACATTTACTTAAATCTAAGTGCATATTTTAGTACCTTGATGAACTGGGCGCATCAGACCTGATCCTGTAAAACATCAGAAGAAGATGGGCAAAGCACTAATAATATCTGCAGAAGTGATAGAATCTCCTTATAATTCTTTATTGCGTCTTTGTCTGCGATATTGTCACACGTCATTTGACTGTTGCAGCACTTCAGAGGACAGCAGCAATTTAAAATTTATTGATTTTAAATTCATTTAGATGCCAGCTCTTTCTCAAAAGTAGAGTTTAGAATTGTAATCACTGAAAAAAGAAAAATTTTTCCTATTCTTTTCTGCTTATTTGCTTTGTCTATTTTAAAGCTCTTCAGGTAATATCAATTTCTATTTCATGTGAATTTTAAGCTTACTTAATTTGCTTAGGTCTTTCAAAGACCTTAGGAAAACTTTTTTTTTTTTAGAGAGAAGTTCAATAATATCATTAGACCTGCACAATACTAACATTATTTTTTATGAAAAATGAGCGTTTAGTATGCCATATAACACATGGATAAGTCAGTCTACAAATAAATGTCAAATTTCATTGTTGATCACAGCACTGATGTGTCAGTGATTCCATTCCAAAATCATTACATGTTTCTTAGAGGTTTTTAAAAGAGCTACAAGATGTTGCATGCTGCTTTCTAAATGTATTATTCTATCAGGAAAAAAAAAGAATAGCTTGTCTACAGCTTTGGTCTGGCTACAGTAAAAATAATTTTGAAGTACACTGAGATTTTCACCTGAAAGATTCCAAAATTCAGGATTCAAATGTACTTATGCATATGATGGCACAGGAGGAATGCTGCAACTAATAAGTAAATTGGACCTGGCAATACTTTCTTGGTACTGGAACTATTATATCAACTTTGTATGTGGTTAAATTTAGATATCAAGGGGTGAAATGTCTTGCATTTGATCACACAATAAGTGAGTAACTAAGATGAGAATAAAACCCAGAACTGACAACTCTAGTCTTTCATAAAAAATTAAGTCTAATTCCCTGCTGTATGAAGCTGTGCAGCTGTGTATGAAGACCTCATACACACAAATAAATGAGTGTTGTTGTTAAAAGTTAGAGCAGATGGCTATGGTTCCTTTATTTTAGGTACAGTCAAATAAAGATCAAACATACTGCTGTGGAAATGACTATATTTACTAGAAAGTCATAAATTTCATATTAGAAATGATGCTGGTATAGTGGTAGAGTGCTGTATAACCTATTGGATAGAATTGTTTTTTTTTCTTATGTCTCTAGTAAAAATAATTAATGAAAGAAAGTATCAGATTATATAATTGAGCTAAACTTAAAATGACAAAATGTAAGCAATGTTGCATAAATGGAAGCTCAACATGGACAAAATGGCAGGAACTATTGATTATTAAAGGAAGGGAAAGACTTTCCAAAAGATACTCTCAGCCAACGAGTTCATCTTTGTCTTGTTTAATCGTGACAGAACTAAATGTTAACCATATTCAACAACATAATAGATGGCAAATTTTCAGACCTTTAACACTTTACTTTTCATTTGACTATTTCCTTTATAACCCCTTCATAAGGGACGGATCCCTTCAGAAATGCCAGTATCAGTCATTAGTCCTTCTTAGAGCAGTCTGACCAAAAAAGATCACTAAGAAATTACCCCCAAAAGCTCTCTATAGAGCACTTGCCTCCACTAATTGACTTCAGTAAACAGCAAGGACACTTGTTTTCCTGAAGGATTTTTCCAAGAGAAAGACATTCATAGATCTGCTACTGATGGAAGGAAGATTTCTTCTGTCAAGCTCTGTTGTCAATCCATGGAAGCTCCTGGCCAAGACATTTCATCTTGTTGACTCTAAATTTTCTCACCTACAGATCATAGTATCTTTCTCTTCTGAATGCTGTGAGGAGCTAACATTTGTAAGATTCTTAGAAGTGCAAAATATTACTAGTACTAAAATTTTCTATTAGCTTGATAGATATTTTTTCCCATAGGTAAACTCTTTTCTAGGTAGAAAGGATGAAATAAGCCAGTTTAAATTAACAAATGAACTGTCCATTACTATTTTAACTATTATCAGTAGCACCCTGGGGAACCAGCTGAACATCAATACCTATTAGCTGCTATGAAATACCGTTTAAAGGAAAAATCTTGAATAGAAGCTTTTAGAACATGTTTGTTTATGAGAAATTGGTAAAGTGTGAAAAAAAAGGTAAGCTTAACTAATCGACTCTTTGTACCCACAGTTCAGATGGGTCTGTGAGCAAGAGTTACAAATGCATATCCAGGAGCAGAATATGCTCTTCCATGGTTTAAACGGGAAGCAAATAACACATTATGTAGAAAAGCTCCTGGTATCTAGCACAGTAATGTCACTCCACGTTTCATCCTAACTGCTAGATTTTAGAAAAGTATTAGGATAAGAGAACATGATTAACAGTCTTCAGAATAATCTCCAAGGAGAAGCTTGTAATTTATATTATAACTTAATGAGTGAAAATAATCTGGATTTTTTTCTGTATCTTCATATTATAATACTTTTCAGTGAAGACACAAAAACCAACACACACATGTGCATGCACACACACACACACACACACACACATCAAAATATTACTGTAATCTAGTCCTGGCTTACTATTCTGTTTAGTCTTATGAAACAAATAATTTAGCAGAAAGTGTACAGTGTAGAGGCCCTCAGAGGATTACAATGTACCAAGTAAGCATGTTTTTCTGTAATTTATAGTCCCTGGAAAAATATATTTTAAAAACCTATTGCCTGAGTTTACAAAGCTCACAGGGATAGTTAGTTCTTAGCTGACTGTATTGCTGGCTAAAATGTTAGACATATTTTACCACTACAGGTCTTTACATTTATGGATATACCATGGCCTCAAGGGTTCTTCATTAGTGAATTTATGTTTTAATCAGAGAACTGCGAACTGTAATGTTGTCCCCGAACTGACAACTGCAGGATGGGTATATGAATATCAACCTAGTATCTTCTGTATAAGCATAGCAGACAAGAATATCCCAAAGAAAAATTTAAGTTTTCATCTTTGTTGATACTCTTCTTCTTTAGCTAGCCTGAGTAATTTCTTAAAACTCAGTCTCCTGCCAAGCTCTGTGAGTAATGGATTTTTAATCTCAGTGATAAAGCTGAAAAAAAAAAAAAAAAAAAACAAGAAAAAAATTGGTTGAGCTAATTGAATTGAGTTGCTTCATTTTTTGGCTCATGGGACATTTTTCTTTCATTTTTTCCAAAATTTGGGGGTTTTATCCAATGTGGATCATTCTTTAAATTGAAACATTTAATGTTGAAAATGTCAAAACAAAACATTTAGTCTTTTCAGAATTTTACTGTCTGAAACCAAATTCTACCTGAATTTAAAAACAGATGTAGTAAATCAGCAACTACATTTTTTGGTGAACTTGCTGTTCATTCATTTCTAATGTCATAATAGGGCAACTACACATCCAGCTGGGTTGCAGAGAAATTACAAGCCGAGGAAATAATGGGTCTGTAATCTTTGTATGGCAGTGAAAACAACAGCTACTAAAGAAATCAAAAAAAGACTAAGAAAAACAGAGAAGAGTGTAAGAGTTCTATGGATGAAAATGTCACCATTTATCAGAGCTGCATGAGAAATGCAAACTATTCACCAATTAAGTGTTTTCTAAGCTGCTCAGTGAAAGCACAAAACACAGGAAAGATCATCTAATGTCAGTCTCATTTCCCATCTTGTACAGAGCTATACAACATAAAATCTGCCTTTATCTGTTCCATGAGTCATCTTCCTACTTCTGCTCTATTTTATTTCCTGCTTCCTGCTAGCTTTTGATCTTGCAGCTCTTAGAGCCTGTATAGTAGTATACCGTATTTATTTCCCCTTTTGAATACACTTCACATGGTTTCTCAATATAACCTTCTTTCACTAAAAAAGACTTACCTAACAACATAATCATTATTCAGCAGAGAAATACTACACAAGTACAATCTACGATCCGTACATTAGCTATCTCAGCCAGCTCAATAATCCAATTTCATCCAAAAGTTAAAGGGCAAATTTTCCTTAAAGGGCAAATTTCCTTTGTTTGATGCCAGACTTTAGCTTCCTCCCTTCCCCTTTTCAATGCCAAGACAAATGAAGAAAATCTTTTAATAATACAGTTCTAAGAAGAAAAGATACTATTTTGCTCAAATGCTTCAATAACAACCACCCATAGACAAAGATCAAAACTGGCCATTTCCCGGGCAGTACCCTTGAAAGCTGCAACTTAAGACAGGCTATCTATCTTAAAATAGATACGTATAGGTAGTCTCTAGACTAGTCTCTAGGTAGGTATAGGTAGTCTCTACAACTGTCATTGCTGATTCAGAAACAATAACGTAATTTTCTATGATTGCTTCTGAGGTTTCTGCTTCTTCTTTCTAACATAAAACTTTCCATTTTTGTTTTGAATAGGTAAGCCTACAGGGTATGGATCCAGCAGTAGACGCTTACACCACAAGGGAATAGTGGATGAATGCTGCTTCCAAAGCTGTGACCTGAGGAGGCTGGAGATGTATTGTGCTCCAATCAAGCCACCTAAATCTGCACGCTCTGTACGTGCTCAGCGCCACACTGATATGCCAAAAGCACAAAAGGTAGGCCAGGCTGGGGGGAAAAAAAAAACACCCAAAAACTCTCTCTTAGGGAGGGAGAAGTCTGTCACGGCTGACATAGCCAACAATATATGTGTTCTGTCTACCAGATACACTGAGTTCTTTTGGAAAACAGTGGCTGTAGTAGAAAATAGGTAGAAAATGAAGTGTTTATCTCCATCTCACCTCTTAGAACATTAAACAAAAAATTGAATTGCTAAGCTAGTCGTTGTGAGGCTTTATTCTCCTCCTGAATATTAACTGACAGGTACTCACATCATCCAACCATCAATAGCAGCAATGACCTCTTTCAAAAGAGAAACCAAGCACTGAGTGATTAACAGCTGATCTATTCAGAACCTTCTCACTCATCTTTACATGTCAAGAAGAGAAACTGAGTGACCAAGAGGAAAAACACAGATCTTGTTATTCATGTTTACTGTGTAAATGAACAAATGATTTCTTTCTTTAGTCATTATTTTGGCTTTTTTATATTTTTTATTTACCAGAACCAAATTAAGTGGATAGTCAATGCAATCATCCCATACTTTATTATAACTACTCATGTTTAATATGCATATTCTTCATGCACTTCAAATATTCATTGGTATTTTTTGTATAACCCTGGAGTTCAGAATCCAATTTTTGTCCCTGTTGTGCTATATACTGTATTTAAACAAATCTCACCTGCCCTCAGCAGAGTTTGCAGTTCAGATAACCTATCTTTAGGCTAGACTACTAACAGGCTCTCTTCCACCTCTCCTCCTGTTTGAGCTTTAAACTGTTTTACTGTTGTTGACTCTGTCCTACACATATGCTGTTAGCCCCTTCACTCCTGCAGGGAGTCCTCCTGCAGTTGACTAAAAGTTTGTGGTTTTTTAATCAGCAATGAAACTGCATGAAAACCTAAGATTTCACAGGAGTCAGTTAATATACAGCACTATACAGTAATTAATTTCCTTAACATTAGCTTTGTAAAAATAACAATTGTAATAGTCCCAGCATCCGTTTCTCTTCCATAAGTCAATCCACAAAAGAGAGTCCTTTGCATCCCTTCCTCAAGGGCTTTCAACCCTTTAAAGGGATGACTGTATGATTCTTCCTGGGAAGTACCGCCTTAGCAATAAACATCTCAAGAGACACACATGAAAAATGAGTGAAGTCCTCTTTATGTAAAGCTCAACTGTGGACAAGCAAACCCTGTGGTTTCTTCCTATCTGGGCACACATATACTTACGGTTTGTGGGTAAAGAAGAAGATAGACGTGGCCAGTAATCTCTGTGTTTCTCCACATACTTGTTGCTAGGGTGATGGGAAAAACAGCTCTCTGATAGATCTCCATATCACTTTCCTTGGAGAGCTAAGGAACAATGTAATTCTCTGAACAACTGTCCTCTTCCTAGTTCAAGAGATAGACACAGAAAAACTTTTTTTACAAATCAGAAGGCTCAGAAGAGAGACCTGGCATCTTTCATTAGCATCAAAGTTCATGGAGGATATTACAAGAAAAAAAATAAGAGGAATGAAGTAGTAATCGAGAGAACCCAGCTGAGACAGAAAGCATCTATGAAAGGAGAAGGAGAAGAGCACAGGTGAAAGGAATGAAATTAGAAAAGGGCAGGGATAAGATAATAATAAAAAGACGGTGCAGAGTTAAGGAAAAGGAAGAGAATTACATCAAGGAGGTTGAGAAGGAAAATACTGGAGAACTGAATGAACCATAGGCAAAGGGCCAATGTCACACAGAAAAGACTGAATTTTGAGAAAAAGGGAGAGAAAACAAAATTAGATAAAAAGTTGTATCAAAGAAAAGAATACCAATAAAGAGAAATGTATTGGAAAAGGAAAGAGCTGATCGGAAACAGAAAAAAACATAAATGTTTCTTAGTGGGAAACTAATAATTAAATTAGAAAATTCTGATGGGAAAAACAAACTGAAATTTTCCTTAATCTGTGTACATGGAGAAGACCAGACTGAGGAAACAAAAATATAGTAGGGGGAGGAAAAACTATAAGTTCAGATTTACGATAGATAAGATGAAAATACAGAGAAAGGAGGAGAAAGGAAAGAGAATGCATTAAGAAATCAATGCAAAGACAAGAGAATGTTATTAAGTTGAATATTTTTAAGAGGAAAAAAATTTAAAGACACACATGAAGTTCTGTTTAGTTGCAGCCGTGAAAATTCATGGACTTGTTCGCCCCACCCCATTCCAATTGTCCATGTTAGCTAGGGTCATTAAGTGCAAGAACTGGAGATTAGCATAATTCAAGTAGCTTTTTATGCAGCAAATATATGTGGAGTTTTAAACTGACACCCTTTAGAAAAATTAATGAAAGTAGGATTTTTTTTTTTTAATTATATGAATCTGTATATTTGATTGAAAAGCTACTATTACATTCTCTTAAATAACAAGGACCTTTATCATATACAATGTCTTTTTAATGTAGTGAGTACATGAGAAATGCAACAAAAAAGCTATGTTTTAATTAACCTAAAGTAATATATATTTTCACTGTTCCTTGCATAGAATAACTTTTCCAAAACCATAGAGCCTAGAGAAAATTTAGTTGGAGTACAAATTCAGGCTCTTGCAAATTCTAAACTGAAATACCAAAGTAGAGATACGGGATATTTCAAAGCTCATGCAACTTCTAGCTCTTCAGATCTTTAGTGAACACTACATTCAGTTTGCAAATAAAAATTAATAAACAAATAAGGGTAAAACTTCAGATTCTGTATGACATACGAAAAAGCAGAAGATATGTGAAAAAACTAATAAGTCCATATTCTCATTTAATAAATTTTTTCCAGTCAGCTGTATATACCTGAATTAAGAAAAACGATGCTATGTTTGAACATTTTATTTTTGATAGGCTCCCCCAATATAAATGCATTTAGCTAATGCATAGTGTTGCTTTGTTACTCATTTTAATTTAAAAAATAACTATATTAAAGCAAATTGTTTTTCAGAGTTGAGCACAATAGCTTTACCTGCTTTAAAACATTTTGCTTCTCAAATTCTGTCATTTTCCCAAAGAAGTCAATGGGGATCCTTCTGGGCATCATCTATTCTGTCATTCTTTCCTATGCTTGATTTGAAGTTCAATTTTAAGCCAGTTTCACCTATTCATACTTGAATCTCTCAGAATAATTGTGTCTATATTGCTGGTATGTGAGCCACTTTCCTCCCCGCACACCTGAGTTTCTCTATCTGGTAAACCAATTGTCTCACTCCAGATGCCTATCTGAGTAACAGGTACTATGGCTGATCAAGGAGCCTTAGTTCAAACGTGAATTTACATCCTAAAGTAACCAATAAAGCCTCAGTGATTTTCTGTGGGATTTTCATGGGATTCCCTAGGGCAAACCAGGAAATATTCACTGAAGACTCACTATTTCAGGTAGTGCTTGCACCTGCACAAAGCCCTAGTTACTATATAAGGGCTCTCATATGAACATAAAATCTAGCTCATGAAGAAAATCTTGAAAGAATGGGATTTTAGTGCTGACATAATCCCTATTTTCAGCTTATGATTTATAGATTTTAAAAATTAAATGATCTTTTTAAAAAGTGAGGGAGGGATACAGTCTTTGTTTGCTTCTACAAATAAAGATGTTATTGAACACATCTTTTTAGGGCAGATGCCAAAATTTACTGATCAACATAAAAGAACGTTATTAAGCAAGACATAATAAGATTAGGTGATTAACAAAACTGTACAGCCCAATAAAAGATTTGAATGTTTTTGAAACTCAGAGTCAGTGTAAGCATTTTGGGGAAGATAACTTTTTGTTCTTCAGAATGGGTAAATGTGTCTACCTCTACGTGTCTGAGTGAACTCTGTCAATACTAAGCTCTGCCTTAATGCTTCTCTCCTTCTTCATTATAACACCTCAGAATTGAATTAGATTTCCAGAAGTAGGTCATCACGATGAGGTAGCTAAGACAAAAAATAACAACGATATTTACACTTGTCAACAAAAACAGGTGTTTTGGAGGTCTTCAGAACCCCTGTAATAGTTTGCAGATAAGGTCACTGGAAAGTCTTAAATTATTGTCATAGCTTCAGTGACACTAAAGTGAGAAGCCAATGCATATTCATAATTGAGTTTAGACTATCACATTTATTTACAGGTAAGCTAGAATGTAGTTGTGTTTTTTTTAAACTATCTTACAAGAAATGTAGGATTTGCTTAGTGACCACGGAAACTAGATGTAATTAACAAGTCAATAAAATAATTTCCACATTTATACACCTTTCATTCCCATGATTTCAACAGAAATTTTATTCAGTGAGTCCATGAGATGGAAAGAGCCAGGCTGAAACTGTATTTCAAGTTTAGTGCTATGAGGGACAACAGGAACCAGGTTCAGATTATTATATTATAATAAACTGGAAATGTAATTTAATATGAGACAAAGAGAATAAATAGTCTAAATCCAGACTATGCCAATTTTCAACTGGAGAAATTTCCTCTGAAAATAAATATTTTACTCAGAAACAATTTTTCATACCTATATCCTCTCTTCCTTCCACAAAAGAAAAATAATATGACTGCTAGTCCTTATAGGCTTTGACTTAAAAAAAAAAAAACAGAAAAAATAAAAAACACTTCTAAAGGGCCTTTCATGTAAGGTTCTCAAAGCACAAATATATCCGAGACTCACAGCACCACAGTTACTAGATGTTATTCTTATTTAAATGAGAGCTTTAAGGCAGGATTTAGTGGAACATATACGCTATTGTTTAGTCACTCTGAGATTTCATATACAATCTATTTCTTATGCCTTTCATACTTCCAATAAATTTTTTATGTGGCATTACCTCATAATCTTTTTCATAGAAAACAACTCTTGATTTGGGTTTTGGTTTAAATGCTTTTGGAGGAGGTCTACTTTCCAAAGTTCTTGAACAAATTATTCCTCCTATGCACGACTCTGTAGTTTGGCAGATCCTTAGTAAACTTAGACCAATGGAACAGGTTTGTTTTTCTATTT